GAAACTGAAAAGTTAACATAACCTCAGCGCTCACCCGCCACAACAGAAAAGATCAAACAAGTAGGTTCCAAAGATCTTACTCGGAAAAAGCCTCAGGTTCTTGAGACAGCGACAACACTGTTGGAAGATAACCGGCTAGTACCCCAGTGTGACCAGTTGTAAACCCATTATTTAAACTTACCCTGCAGCATCTGGATTTCAGCTGAATGAAAACTTTTCTCAAACACGGCATCACTGTGATAAAAAAATTAGTGGCATTGTTTGTCTCACAGAACAGCAGAAAAAAGTACGATGCAGAATTCTAATGATACCCTATAATTAAAGAGTATATTTTCCCCTGTCTCCTCCCTCATTTCCCTGCAGTTTGTATGCCTAGAGGAGCAAGCATTACTGTGAGTTAGTATATGTAGTCAGTGTTTTGACATGAGCAAAAATATTTTCTGATGTGACCTCTGAAAGGCACTCACTATAGTCCCCCTTTGTACCAGGGAGGGAAGAGAGGGCCTGTCCCGACCTGTCAGGAGCCTGAAGGTGTGGTGAAGCCCCAAATCCTGTACCCTGCCACCTGCACTGGTGTGACAGCCACACAGCCTCCTCTAACTCCCAGCTTTGCGTCACATCCTTCGTCAGGGTTCTGTAGCACAGCAGGCAAAGGGCTAAGGAAACAGTTTCAGAGCATTTCAACACTGTACCAGCTTTCCCATGGTAAGAGTTAAGATCCCAAATGCTTTTCTAGACTTCGCCAGGCAATATGGAAGAAAATAGAAGGAAATCAAAATTCAAGGTCTGCTGCCAAAAATAAATTTTTTTAGAAAGCTCTTCAATGGAAAAAGTTGAAAGAACCACTTTACATCGTATCAGTATAAAACTTTAATGTCAGGTCTTCCAATTACAAACTGAATGAGAAGAATATTTATGAAAATAGACAGTACTTTACAGAGTGCATTCTTTCAACATTGCAATTTTCTTTTCATGTCGTCAGAGTAGGTATGTACACAAGAAACTTCCAGACTTGCAGTCTGATTTGTAAGCAGTTCCTGTGTACTGCTTTCTACTTGTACACAAAACATAAGTCGTAAAATCTTACACATCTGCAAGTCTGCTCAGAACATACTTGCAAGTGAATAGTCTATTTTACATAATGACAGATTGATCGTAAGTCTTGCTAGTTACAACCAGAAATCAACAGAAGCAACCAGTTATCACTGATTGATACCTTCTCAAGATTATAGCTACATCACTCCTGAATGGTATCATTCCAAACAAATTTCACATATATGGAGCCCAGCCCATATACATCTGGCAGAGCAGGTTGTCATCACTTGCTTCTTGAATAAGGTAATGAACATGCCCTTCAATAGATAAGGGTAATCCTTTTATTCTGTTTCTAGTCTTAATGACACCTTGCAGACGTTGTTCTATATCCAGGACATGGGTTTTGGCCTGGAAACAAAAAAAGGAAAAAAAAAAAAAGAATTTTGCTGCTATCCATGAACTGCCAGTTCTTAAAATAAAGTTATTAGGATGTGTTTGCAATCTGTATGCTAACCTAATACAAAACCCAGATGTCTACACCAGTTACTTTCAACATAAAGGATACTCACTTTCTAAAAAGAATTCTTTAAAGTGGATAGGTTATCAATCAAGTTATAATTTTTGCCTTACATTCTTACAGATAAAATTTACCAGAGAAGACTGAAGAAGCTATGCAAATGCATTTGAAAGTGTGAGAATGCTCTACTTCATGCAACTACTTTCAAACAAACAAAAAATGTTCCCAGTCTTTTTCTTGGAATTCTGGGTAAAATTAAAGATATCTAGTCTGGAAAATTTAGGCCAAAATTATGAACAACTGAAAATGAAGACTTCTAAAAACAGATAATGCTGAGCAACTCGAAATGAGCTGTTCTGAGGCCCACTAGAGTAGCTGGTTCATGTCAATTATACCCAGACATTTTCTTTTATAGCTGAAGCATAACTGTTTGTTTGGGATAGGTGCCAGCGTTAACCAAACAACTGTGTGGGTGGTCCTGTCAGTAGAAGAAAGGTTACGTAGACACAGCCTGGTTAGTAATTGAACATCAGGAGATTGGCTGTGCTCGAATAGCTCAATTGAACTCTTTGTTGTAATACAGCTTCAGTACTGTAGTTTGTCCTTATCTTAGCTGCTATGCTTATCAGTGCTCCGTAAGTTCTATATGCTATTACAAATTATTGTTTTCACTAAATATTCCTTTTAAAGCAAAAAAGAGAAGAAAATCAGAATTTTTGCAAATGGGAAAAAAATCAAGGTTATGCAAGCTGTATATACATGAAGACAATGTACTGCTTATCAGCAGCTACAAAAGAAATATGAAATCTTCATTTTAACCAAGTATTTCTTGACATGCAACAAGACAGTATTTATTAAACAATAAACATCCACTCCTGAAAAGCACAGAAATGTGCACTGAAAGGACTCCAGCTGTTACCATCACTCTAAGCTGGGAGGACTGCACAACAGTCAGAGTGAGAGGAAGCAGGAGCCTCGCCTGTCCTATTGCTTCTGTTGATGTTTGTCCTTGATTTAGAGAACATTAAGAGAACGATAGGCTCTATTTTGTTTGGTTCTTTAGTACACAAATTACATTTTCTATCAATAAAACGTCTCTTTATGGATAAAAATTATGAACACAGAGATAGTAAAGCAGAAACAAACAGAGGAAGTGATAAAGTTAAGGTCTCAATTAGAAAATGTATAACTTGCCACCATAATGGCCATTTGACATTTGAATACCTTATGCTATGCTTGTTTTCAACTGACCTTTTCATTGACAACTTCTCCAGTTTCATTAACCTGTGCTTTTGTGTTCCCTTTAACAGGTTTGCTCCATTCCACAAGAGGATCATGGAGAAAAGTCTTTAAGACACTAAATAAATTAAAAATAAAACCAGGATGAGATACATATGAAACACTTAATTTTCAAAACAAGAACACTGACAGGAGTCTAAAGCTAGTGCTGAATATTTAGATTGTTTTATATCTAACTTCATGTCACGTCAGGCTGAGCTGCGTGACAGGCATATGCTGGAACTGGCACAGCACGAGCAGTTACTGTTTCAGGTGTTTAGACTACAGATCGCTTTTTCAGAGCTCGCAGCAGAAGCAGTTGCCATACCTCATTAGAGGCTCCCTTTGATCACGCATAAGCCTCATGGTGACTTCACAAGCTCTTCGAAACAGACCTTCTGTTCCCATTGGACCCATTCCACTAATCATGTTGTGAGTGAGACGAAAAGGAACAATTTCCGGAACTTCAAAAGTTTCTCCCTTTACATTAATAAAAAAAGAGTGTGCCCTGAGCATTTTAAGCATCATTCAAGGGTAACATTTGCACTGTTGTTAGGTGTTTCCCTGTCTTTGTCAGTGGCAGTTTCCTAGCTGACAAGAGATGTTTGCTCTGATCACAGTCCATGTTAGCTGTTAATTACAGTGAATAAAGGATACCAGTGTCCAAATATCCTCTTTCCTTCCTGTTTTAATACAATAATATAGCGTATAAAATTTTGTCGTAAATATATATTGCTGCTCTCTAGTCTTATGCAAAATGCTAACTTTTTTATAATATGCAAGCTAACTTAAAAACTGTTGTTTTTTTTTAATTAAGGGTTTTGTAGAACAATTTAGGCCTACTAAAAAGAAAGCAGAATAAATAAACTAACAATATCTCTACCTCACTTATTCCACACCAAAAGCATCTTTCATCAGAAACACCAAAACTCCAAATCCCACTCTGGCCATAATTTCTGCTATTTATTTTTACAGAACCATTGGAATTTCTGTGCTGAGTTTGTGCGAGAAAAAAACCCAAAGAAACTCTTCACAGCAGTAGAATTCTGAGTGCTGTAATCACAGCTTTGTTTGGAGGGTGGCAGTGAAGAGAGGAGAGTCACAAGATACAAACACTCTAAAATTTAGGCTATCCACATCAGCTCATCTGATACTGGCTAAATCAAAAAGCTGGCTTTCATTAATGCAGTACACAGAACAATCACTGTTTATTTATCCCAAACTGTTTGTCTGGTATAAATAAGAAGCCAAGTGAGAGAAATAACACAACAGATATGTTAAAGTTAAAAAAAAAGTTGAAAATCCCAAGACAGTAGAAATTTATAAATTACTTGCATGTAAAATAAAGAGCAAGTTCAGCAAGTGGCATTTCTCACCTTATTGAAAAGGCAGTTGAAATCCACATGCACACATTCACCAGTCAAAGAATCAAACAAGATGTTTTCACCGTGACGGTCTCCTAGACCCAGTATGTAACCTACCATTGACATAACTGCAACAGAACGACAATAGGCTGACCTGCTGTTGTACCTGCGGAGATAAGAGTCAGATACATCCACATCACTTCCTCGGGTTATCAGTCTTCATTCAGCAGTATCGTTAACGTTTAGTGACATACACAAAGTAGATATTCTTGAGCTAGCCCAATCCCAGTCACTCACCACGAAGTAGGATCAGGAAACGTTCTAAGAAACCATTCATGAAAGAGCGGAGGATGACGAGGCAGAAGGACCTCTTTGAACATTTTCAACTTCTCCGACAAAGGTGCTGACTTTGGAAGCATATGCTGGCGCAATTCTTTTCCGGTCATATAGATACCTGTAATAGACTTCCTCAATTAGGCAAAATAAATCCCCAAATATAAAATATGGACTATCACGATACGGTATTTTAGAGAAGATAAACACCTCCATAAAGCTGAAATACGTAACAAATGGAAAATAACCCACAGATCGTGTTGGTTATGGGGTACTAGACAGTAAATAACAAATCATAACGTTAACTGAAAGAGGAGACTTGGCAAACAAGCCACCAGTTATACCAGTCACCATGGGGTGGAGTGCAGTGAACACACGTACACAAAAAACCCCTCACCCCCAAAGCCATTCATTATATTCGGTTGAGATGTCTGAAGTTCCAAATTCCCAGATGTCTGCATACATTCAGGTAACGTGAGAAGTGTCCCATCAAAGTTCAATTGCACTGACCAGAGAGTTGCTTTGTTAACAAGAAATTCAAAAGGAGTCTGATCTTCTCCCTGAAAAATTGCTGTACCCTCAAGCTTGATTCAGTTATAATTATCTTAATTATCTCTCACAAATGTAACAGAAATAAAAAACAGATCAAATCTAAAGAAAAAGTCCACAGTCTATTATTCAATGATGCACATAAATTCCCATGTTGCTGGCACTGCTGTTGAAATGATTTACATAGTTCTATAAAAGAATGTATTAAGATCATCGTATTATCAGCTCTCAGTAAGGAACGTGTGCATTGCGAGCACCAATTCTCTTCCATTTAGAGGTCGACCACATATGAAAAATAATTATGTATTGCAGATAGTTAAAAAGACACACAACTGCATCTTCCTAGAATTTAGTCTGATCCTTGCAGTTTGTCTCATTTACTAATAAAGATACAAACCCTTTAAAAATAAAATAAGTATCATTGTAGTCTAATGTATTTCTTTACCTTTCTCCTTATAAAGTTTAATCAGGATATTTCTTAAACCAGCAGTATTGTTCACCCATTCAATTATGCCACATTCATCATTTAATGGAATAACTGCATAGGTTCGAATATGAAGTTCTCGCCTACGTGACTCCGCATCTTTTCTTAAGCACTATTCACAGAAGAAAAATGAGATTAACGGATAACACAGATAGGATAAAAGTGTTTTAACAACATTAACCATTCCACCTATACCTATTTTCCAATCACACAATCTAGAATTTAATTCTAAGCTTCACCATCTGCAGTAGGTCAAATGCAAGCGAAATGCTCATCTGTTCTCCATAGTAAAATTAAAAAAGAGAATTTTGCAGTAAAATAGACAAAATGCTTAACTCGTATGTGGCATAAATCTCTTAAAAGCAGTATTTGAAACAAGTGTTTCAGAGATGCTATCATTTCCTTACCCTCACAGAAAACATCATACCTTAACCTTAAGCAGATCGACAAGCAGCAAAATAAAATAAGAAGTATGGCAACACTTATAGCATGAAAAGATTAATTTACCTATTTCTCATTAAAAATATTAGAAAATACTGAAAAAGAAATATGAAGCATGACAGCAGACAGTTTGCAGTTATTTCTTTACTGTAAATAACCTTTGTTGTATATTTTTGCTGGAAGAAGCAATTGTTTTGGCAAAACATTGTATTTTGTTATTGTTTTCACAGGTCAGTAACAAGCAATATATTATCAATTGCTATTGCTTTCTGCCGAAATAAGATATTTTGCAACAGTTTACTTTTCTTCTAGTAAGCTTTATCTCAAGGGAAGTCGGTTTCTTTTTTAGATAGTTCAGCACTTTGTTCTGATCAGCAAGTCTAACACATCTGGTTGTCTAACTCAAACCTTATTGATAAGGGAGTTGAATTCCATGAGCCGACAGTCTTTTCTAAGATCATCTTTTGGCTTACACATCATAATGTAAGATTTCCCATCTGAACCTTTTAAGGTGATCTTTTTTGGCTTTTGAAGTGATGCAAGAATTTCCACCTGAGGAAAAAATTAGATTCTTTATCAACACCTCTATCAGATCATACAAAATCAAGTGTCTAACTGTAATAAACCACTGCAACCAATCACACCAGCACTTCCATGGTGCTACCGCATTTTAACCTCAGGCCAAAACCTTATCCAAGTACCAAAAGGCCACATCTGTCTCAAGCTGTTATGTCAGAAGCCACTCAGATTCCACAAAAGTAATTATCAAGTTTCCCACTCATTCCTCCATTTCTAGGGAACTAAAATATATTTGCAGCTACATTTGTTTAACATGAAGTTTAAAATGAGGTGCCAACTAGAGGCTCACCGTATCATCAAAGCCTGCAATGTAGGCCCAGCATCCAGGAAAAGGGTCATGGTTAGCATGTGTACCAGGAATTGAAGGAAGGGTCGGTATCATTACAGATTGTAAGGGAATGAGAATTTCACTAAATGTGTGCTCTTCCACTAATCTCTTAAGTGTTCTGAAATGAATATTCATGCTTAATGTTGAGCTGTTTCCATCAACCTTGGAAAAAATAAAACAATTTTTAAAAAGTTCAGAAGTTAACAATAAACACTTAAAATATTACTGCTATTTCACATGAACTAATGAATAGAATAATAAATGCTTATGGTAGTAAGAACAATGGCAAATTAAATTTCAAATTAAATGAGAATGGTCAGAAGTAAATATACCTGGCCTTCACGACACATATTTTCCACTCTGAGTGTCAATACAGAATAAGGAAATATTTTAATCTAGTTTTACTTTTATTAACAAGTTCATTTGCTTATGAAACACAGCCAACCTATTTTTACAGTAGAACTCTGGAAGTTATTGGGCAAGAATAATACATGAAAGCATAAAACAATGAAGTCCCTGCCCTGTGAAATGTACCTCTATATACGGAAATATTTTGCAATGTGCTCAATTTAGAGCTATTTGCTACTTTAAAAAAACTGTATTAAGTAAAAAAAAAAATAAATCTTTTACAAGTTTGCTTATTTTTGTAAGTACCGGTTTGTTGCACAGCTCTAATAGCTTATCTGTAAGGCGTGTTGCATCTCCAATAAATTTTCCTAAAGATTCCTTCATGTGAATTGCTTTGTTTAGAATTTCCTTACATCTGTTGACACGCATAGGGTAAGAGGACTGAAAAAAGAGGAAAGGTAAAATTTATTGAACAGTCAAGTCAATTTAAAAAAATCCTAAAAAACCCCAAACAAACCCACAAACCAACCACCGTAATTAATATGTTCTTTACTTATTGATTTTCGTATTTAATATCTGGAAAAGGATTTTCTCCAGTTGAAATTTGGTACCTGAACAAGTACTAAAGTGGCTGTGCATGGCGGGCAATTTTTCTTTCCAAAACCATTCTTGGGAGTCCCATAACATAAAAGGCCAATATTCAATATCCAAGCCTTAAAGAAACAGTATGCACCGTGCTTTCCAATTTGCTTTGGAATGACTTTACTACCAGGTAAGTATTAGGACTAAGTGGTATATCTACCTCATTTTAATCAAGGCACAGAGTTGATTATTTGATGATAAAACTGGAAATACTATCACAATTACTAAAAGCAACAAAATCTGTTGTCCATATCTACCCAATTCATCAGCTATTTGTTACTGACATTTCCTTTCCTAACACATCATACAAATCAGGATGCATGTTAGCATCCGAATTTGGAACATTTAAACTGTAATATCTGAACTTCAGACTGCAATAACATCTTTTGCAGTGATAGACAACACTGTGTCACAGCAAGTAGAACTCTAAACTCCTTCTTATAATCTTCAAGCGAAATAGGTTAGATAGGTTGTATTCACATTTATCTGGTGAAAACAGTTTTACACACTTATTAAAGGTGTAGCTATACTTATCAAGGCACCTTGGACACAGCAGTCATCATCCACATTGCTTGCTGTGGATAGGCTAAAAACACTTTAGCAACAATCACCATCAAAACTGCGAAGACTTCATCATGAGAATGGCAGATTCGGGAGATTAACTGAGAAAAAGCTGTCAGAAACTGGTAAGGTGCCAGGTGATTCGTGTGCTCTGTAATCACCTTATTTATTTTAGCTAAATCATTTTTCATTTGAACACGCTCTGAACGACTCGCTGAAAAACAGAAGAGGACAAGATCATGTTCTTTTTTTCCAATCGGAAATGTAAAGCCACTTAAATCAAGGTTACAGAAATATATTTTGCTTGTAATGTTCATAAACTAAAAAAACTCAAGGAAGAAATAAAAGCTCCATCTGTAAAGTTCTTTTTAACACGGCATACAATAACTTAATACATATGCTATTTGACTAACCAAAGTAACAGGAAATAAACAAGTACAGACGACAGGAACATGGAACAGACAGTACCACAAAAGCTCTCCTTACACTTCTAAGTTTGTTGGAAAAAAGCCCCAAGGACTAACACTTCACTGTAGCAAGTGTATACAAAACCACTGCTCGTTACTTGTGAGGCAGCTTAGAAGAGGTGACAGCTGACATGCAAGGATTTTCTCTAAATCTGTTTATTGACTTAAGGTACCAGAGAACAATGCTATTTTGTGATATATTTTTTTTTAATTCTGGAGAGAATTAAATTAATTAATTAATTAATTAAAATAATTAATACTCTCCCGCATACTAACATCTTGTAATTTAAAAGAATAATAGTACTTTCTTGTTTCCATATAATCTCAGGCAATGTCTAAACAAAGAACTGTAAATATACTTCACTGCTCCTCCGATGTTCTACCTTTATCACAGTCATATGCCTTTGCTCCGAAGTCCAGCCATAAAGATAGCATCCTCGGCATTGACTGATAGATGAATTGGTTGCCATACTGTAGAGACCTGTGAGTACATGTGTAAACCACAGCACGTTAATGATATACATTACAAGCATTAGTAACCTTATAATTGCTTCACATTCCATTCTGGACTTCAGAAATTTATGTTCAGCATTTTAATGCATCTGCAACAACTAAAAGCTTACTAATGTACAAAGGTTTTGTTTGTATTAATCAAAACTGCAGATGAAATAATGAACTGTCTTACACAAGGCAGACAATTGCTTAGCCAGAAGGCAGAAATAACACTAATGAGATGTGAAAACAAAAGGAAGCATGCAGTATTTTGTTTTACAAAACAGAAATACAGTCTGAATTGTTATAAAGACAATATATTCCTAGAAAATGTGGTTTCTTTAGTTTAATAGTCATCCTTCTATAGAAACTAAGCCAAGTTCCACTAGGGTCCAACCTCCCAAAATGATGAACTATGTATCTAATCAGATCTCCTTGTTTTTCCATCTTGTTGTCAGTTACCATCGGCATTAATTTATCATAATATTTAGCAAGATAAAAATGTCCATCTTCCCATTCTGGCAAGAAAACTGTAACATCCTGCAACAAAATCAAAGAGAGAGAATCACTTTTGAGAGGATTTTATTTAGATTTAAAATAAAAACAATTTTAAAAAATTCTCAAGAAACAATAACCTTGTATCAGTTACCTTTGTGAAAAGTTCCTGCAAAAAAGTATTAACTGTAACTTTGTAACTCCAAAATTGTTATTTCATCCCAAAATAAATGCTTGTACAAACCAGAAGTTTGTTCTTAAACTGCCTGTTGGATTTGGAGACAGCAAGATGATTTAAGACAGGCTGATACGGAATTCCTCAACTAAGAGATTACAGTTTCATTTAAAACATTATAATCAAGTCCCTGATCTTAATAAACTCAATACTGAGTTTCTCTTAGTATTTTTGAAAAGTGGAACAGCAGGATGTTTTTCACATTCCTGTTTTCCTTCTAAAAGCATGATGCTTAAAAGAAAACAGAAAAATATGACATAATCAGCATAATGATAGCTTTATTATTATTATTATTATCATTAACTACTGACTTGTTAACACTGGTATATCAAATTACCTTATACTTTTTCATAACTGCATTGCTCTCAAAGTTCGCAGTTTCTTCCATAAACCTGCCCACTAGCAGCATTGCTCGACCATGGATGAGCTGATTTTTGGTGTTGCATGGTGCTTTATTTTCAGAGAAACATAAGTCAACCCCCTTCTGGAGAACAATGAGCGCTTGATGAACCTCACCCTAAGGAAAAGAGAAAACATTTTATATGCTTCAAATAAGAGAGATGTAATACTTCAATCTCATAGTTGTTATTAAGGCAAAGCTATATCCCCAGGTGTGTTCTAGACCATTCTGGCTGCAGTAACTGCATATTACTGACTTCAAATGCTTCTTATATTTCCTTCTTACATCAGCATTGTTGTCCCTTCAGGTTTACCACAGTAATTACTCCTCTGTTTGCTGCCTGCTTCTATTAAAAAGGATACAAATTAGGAAAGGTCTACTATTAAGAAGATTTAAATTTGCGTGGGACCAGTTTCACACACAGCTGCCAGAAGAGTCAATGCACACAGAAAAGGAGTGATTCGCAGTTGGAGGTAAAAGCTTCTTGTGGCTCAACTGCAATCAGAATGCATTGATCGTCCCAGCTGACGTCTTTAGTTTTACATATACTGAGTGTGTGCCTTTTTCTCTTGAAGAAGGTCTAAGATTATTCTGTTGCATATAAGAAAGTGAGTTCCGTTTACCTTGGACCAGAGCCACTTTGCTCGTTCTATGTAAAGTTCGGAGAGCGTAGATTCCCCGGCGTTCAGAAGAGCATTATACGCAGTCTGGTGATGACCAGCTTTTCTTGCAACTCTAGCACTCTGGAGCCAACACTGACCAACAAGCTCACTGTAATCCTGGCTGCAGAGATATTTTTACAGAAAATGAAAAAATTCAGTCCTGAATGCTACTTTACAATCCACAGTAAATATCACAATGTGTTGAAACAAATAAAATTTCTCAGTATGCTACAGGGTGATCATTTAAATGATTTGTAATACATTTGTTTCACCTTTTTTCCGTTTAGGCCTAGAAACTATAAATACTCTTTCCTCCTGTTTCTCCCTTATCTTTCCTATATACATCACTTTTCCCTTCTGTTTTGAAGGTACATAATTTTTCAGAGGATTGCTTTTGTCTACACTACAGATTTCTACAGAGTTTTATCTTCTCTCACCTAATACGCATATAAAAAAGCAGAATATTACTGAGAATACAACATAGACAAGAAATAGTCACGTTCTCACCTTTTACTGAGACTAAGCAAAGCCCTTCTCAGTGCTAAAATGGGTTCTTTTGCTCTGTAAGAATTCTGGGTCATTTCAATACGAGCACACCAGTTCAGGGAATCTCTATGGTGGTCACCATCTGGTTGCTGAAACATGGGTCCAATACTGTGTTCCAACTCACACAGCATATGCAACCTGTGTTAGCAACATAAAGGCAAACATTGCTGAAAATTGGTGGTTGTTTGAGATACATGCAAGTTTCACACAACTTTTGCCATGTTCTAAAAGCTGGCCATGTAAGTATTTTCAAGCAGTAGGACTTCTTTTAAAAGCAAAAACGCAGCGAAACCAAACATGCAAAAATAAAAAATTTGTGAACTGGTTGGTTATTTTTTCACTGTTCCTTTGCCAAGCTGCTGAATACAGACAATGAAGACCACATGAAGAGGAAGACAATCTTTAGGAAGAGTATTTCTATCCATTGCTTTTAGCAATAAATCTCCAACAAGTCTGGTATTTTCAACAAATACTGTTTTAGAAGCAATACGCTGTTACTTAAACAGCAACAAAGTTAGTCCATTTATTTAAAAATACCATTATTATTAGCTGTCACTGTAAAATTGCAAAGCTGAGAGCTTGTAAACATGTTCTCGTTGGCAGTGTTTTAAGTGTAGCAGGTAAATCTGAGAGAAACAGTGACCATTTGAAGTAGCCCAGATCAATGGCTATGGCTAACCACTTTGAAACACTTCTTTCTCAGTACTCCATTTCTTAAATAATATAACACTGAAGAAATTGTCAACATAAAATAGAATTAAGAAAAAAATTAAGAAATACATACCTCAACTGGCTAGTTTCATGCAATATCTTGCCATAAGGATGTATTTATAGTGCAGAGGAAGTATTAACTCACTTGTAAGTCTACTACAGCCAACTTCAAAATTTATTAAAAAAGAAAAAGAACTACTGAAAGGGATGGGGTTTCAATTTTTATTTCTTTTTGTTGATAAAAGAAGGGAGCACTTTCAGGCCACCACATAGATTAGAAGCAATGCTCTTAATATAAAGCAGTTAAGTTAATGGAGTTACTGGCCTGTATGTAGTACTTCAAGCATGGAATTAATTTGTTTATTTTTTGATTACCTGACATTTACATAAACTTGCTTGCTGATTTTGCAAGACTATACCAAATAATTTTATTGTGAATATTGTTCATGGGGGATAAACTGTCAAGTAATCAAAGGTTTCCACTTGGGTGAGTATTAAAAGTGTCAGAAACTGCACAGCAGTACCACTTATTGTGGAAATGGAAAATTCTTGCTGCTGCATACTTGCTTATATGACTTCTGGATTTGAAAATAGCGACATGAAAATCAGAAACCTGATAATGTGTTCGTATCCTCGCTGATAGGATCCTCTTTCGAAGCTTGCTGCTGAAAGGGGTACAATCTGTTCTGCTCGAACAACCTTCAGTGTTTCATAAAACGCTGCTTCATTTTTCTTCTTGGCTGATAACAACAAGTGTCCTAGTCTGACACTCCAAGTAGTGGATTTCACATCTTTGGGGAGGGAAAAAAAAGGGCTCTTATACTCTGTTTCTTTAAGCAGCTTAATCTGAACACACTAATTTGTTTTAACGTTCTACTGGAAAAGTAAGTTTCTCTCGGAATTAATTAATTGAATTTTATAAATAATGTATAATCCCACCCCACAATCCACCCCTCCAAACAAATCCAGAATAAATCTGCCCTTAGACTCTCTTGAAATTTCTAGTAAAAGACTATACATTTACAATCAAATACATTTATAAGACCGAAAAATTACAACAGCTGCCCCTTGTTTCGAGATGATTAGACTAAAGCGTATTTGTTCATAAATGCAAGGAAGTATTCATATTTGGATATCGTGACAAACTTACCTGAAGCCAAATAATTTTCCAGTAAATCCCACTGCGACAGTTTCCAGGCTGCTTCCACTCTGTAAGTGTTCAGTTCAGAAATCCATTCAGACCTATTGAAAGAAAATGAAGGCAATAAAAGCTTGTGCTGAACTCCATTTGTTTTTCTTCCCACCCCTCCCAGTATGTTGGTTCTACATTATCTTAGCAATATTCTTTATATAAAATTCTCTTACTTGAAGAGAAGCAAGGTAAGCTTGCTTCTAACAAAATTCAGTAAAACCAAAGGGTATGCATTGATAAAAAGTAATAGCTGTACAACATGATCTCACAAATTCAATTTTTAGGCAGTGTATTTAAATTCTTTGTTACATTTTTTAACTTCGTTGTTACATTTGAAAAATAACCATCCTCCAATGCATTTAACCTATTAGGCTGCAGAACAGCTATGGAAAAATAAACGTACAAGTCAATGAGTGAAAGATCCTATCTAACAAATTAAAGCACACATCAACACCGTACACAGTGCAGACAAGAAATACTAACACTTCAGGAAGCCTTGAAATTTATTTCTAAACAAAGCACCTCAGTTTTCTAGCTCTACATTGCTAATTGGGTGTGACTGGTAAGCCTCAAATTGTTGATAATGTGCAAAAATGGCTACTGAAATACTGGTGTAACAAGAGCTTCATATTACCCAAATAAACATTGTATTTAGATGATTATAGTACCTGTTTGCAAGCACTCCATTGACCTGAGTCATTACAGTAGATAACTGACCGAGGCCTAGCATGGACTTCACTACACCATGATAATGTAGAATCTAGAAGAAAAAAAACCAAACCAAATTAAAGAAACCACACACATACATTCGAGAAATTCATGGCAGTCTGAAGGAGGAAATATATCCATTTGGATGCTTTTTATAATATGAAAAGGCATAACCAACTGCACCATGAGTTGAATGAGCAGTCAAAGTTAAATTATTATTTTTTTAAAATCTATGACTACCTAAGAACTTCAATCACCACAAGCAATTTTTGAAATGCTCCTCACCACAAATATAGTTTAATGTACATGTATTAATACCCATATCAGAAGATTTTAAAAAAATAATAATTATATATAT